TATATAATTAAAATTTATAATAAATTATATATATAAATAGATATTATATTGAATATATAAATTATATTTAAAATTTGTGTACATAGATATTTTTAAACATTAATATTATATTTTATATTTTAAATAAATAATTTATATTGCGATACAAGATTATCTATAATTATTGATAATTTATTTTTAAAAAGTTAAAATTTAATTTATAAATAAATATAATAAATGAAAAATCAAATTAGAAAAAAAAAGTTAAGCAAATTTCTAAAAATGCTTTTGTTGAAGAATAATTCCTAAAAGCCTTCTCATATAAAATAATTATTTACATTTAATATATAAAAGTTGATTTCATTAAACAGTTTTGGTATTCCTTTTTCTTCGTTAAGATTTTTAATCGTGTTCATTATTTTATTCTGGCACGGATGGAATTCAAGTTCAACTATTTCACAATTTTAGGTAATGGATCTTGTGGTGAAGGAGCAGTTTATATTAGAAGAGCGAAGAATCAGTCTGTCAGAAGTGCATACCGCAGATGAGGTTACCTATAATATCTACTATTCCAAAATCTTCCAAAATGTTCTAGATTTGCTTTCTTTTTTTTTTCATTAAATAATATTTGTTGCTGACCTATGGATACGAGGGATATACAGCCAATTCAGTCATGTTTCTAAAATATAAAAACAGTAGTGAGTTTCTAGTACCACAAAGTGAGGTATCATGGTATTGGTACGAGATCACATTTATTATGGGAAATATCTTCTACAATATTGACCTCATTAATATCTTTCTTAATTTTATAGTGTATTTAGGATGGCCTAGCAAAATTCAAGTTCTCTCCATTATTGGACTTTGTTGTTCCATTTCCATACATAAGAATCTTGAACTTCTGCTTTTTGCATAGCCTTACTAGTTATGTTAAAAATTTCCAAAACCTTAAATTTAAGTTTATGTTTAATTTCTCTCTCTCCCCACGGGGTCTTGCTGCAAATTGATACCGAGTTAATAACTCGAAGGCTGCCTTGCAGATATGGACAACAGGAACGATGGGAGAACTAAGCCCAGTAAGTGCCTTGTACCTTATTAATTTTGGCCGAATTATGTTATCTAGCATTAGTTAAAACAAAAGGTGAATTTAAGTAGAGCCCAGCTTTCAAGACGTTGAACTGTCATCAGTGGAATTGATTTATTTATTTTTAGTTAATCCATAATCATTAAGCTCATATGATATGCCTAAACTATACCACCTTCAGGTAGTGAAGGTCGATGGACGCACAATTGGTAATGGAGAAGTAGGGCCGGTAACTAGAAAGTTGCAAGCTGCTTATAAAAAGTTGACAGAACAATCGGGTATACCTATACCTAACTACCTCGAGACTTGAAAGGTGTAGAATCTTTTTCTGCTGTTCTCAAATATGCAAAAAACAAAAAACAAAAAATTAAACTTTCCCATATCACACTTTTTGTACTTAATTTTCATAATCCTTTTTTATAATTTGTTTCAGTCTTCAGTTGGAACTTGGAAGTGAGTGAAAATTGTTGGTGTGCCACTCCTGACAGCACCTAATCCTAGCTTTTTTCTCTCATCCAGAATAAAATTGTGTTATTTTAAGAGTCGTGGAATCAAGTGTTTTAAAGACAATGATTAAGAAATTACTTATAAATAAGCTTTTTATTAAAAATGACAGTGAAGGTACATTGGTAATTCTTTTCCATTGATTTTTTTTCGCTCTTGAATTTTTAATTAGTTAGACATTCTCTTGTTCTATTTTCTTGTTATGGGTTCCAAACAAATAAGTAAAATTATCGAAAAATGATGCATGGACATTCCATAGTAGTAAACATTCGTAGAGAAAGAAATAGAAGGGGGAAAACCTATAAATTGTTTGTTATGGGTTCCAAACAAATAAGTAAAATTATCGAAAAATGATGCATGGACATTCCATAGTAGTAAACATTCGTAGAGAAAGAAATAGAAGGGGGAAAACCTATAAATTGTCATATGAAACATGATGCGATAAAAAGAGAAAAAGGAACGGTGTCTAGAAAATGGATAAATTGGAGGCTTACCCTGCGAGTCGCCCGTTTGTCTGTCAAAAATTTGCTAAGTAAGATAGATATTTCTGTTCGTTTCACCTAGTCCGTTGGTCAAATGGTGAGGTAAGATGGGTTAACTGTCCGTTAAATTATTAAATGTTATTTTTAATTTATTCAATAATTTGTAGTGTTTCTTCTAAGGATCCATTTAATGATTTTGAAATGAAATATGGTCATTCATTTGTACTTTTATCATACTATGGCATTTTGGTTTCATTTATATTTAATTCCAAGAATTTCATAGATTATAATTTCTAAATTTTAAAATAGTTATTTTTTTTCTAAATAATGAGATAAGAAAATTTTATTTTAGCCTAAGCGAAATAGAATAATAATATTCTTTAAATCATTTAACTAAATTTGTTAATTTAGATTAATATTAAAATTACAATCTTAATTTTTTTTAAAAAAAAGGTTTGGTTGACCGGCCTGCTAATCACTCTTAAGCAAGATGGGACAAAATTTTCAGTTTACCATCGTTAGATGAGTCAGTCCATCCAATTTTTAGCGAGTTAATGATACGATGGGCCAGAATGATATGGGTTGGGTTACTTTACCCTTTTGGAATGTCTAAAATGACTAAAAAGGTGGGTTTTACACAAAATTATTATAAATTTACAATGAAAGTTAAAATATAATATAAAGAGTGTTTTAGATTTCTATTTAGTGGATTTGGGCTCATAACTAATAATTTAAGTTTCAGTTTTCTAAAAAATCCATGCTTTTGCACTGCGGGAATGTGTTTGGGCTGGCCTCACCAATCGCCTATGAATTTGGTCGCTCTTACACGATCAATTTGGCATCTCCTTGCCTTTATTTTTTACTACTACTCATATGAAGGACTAATGATAGATTAGGTTCGTTAAAATATATGCCTTTTTTGTTTTCATTAATAATAACAAAATAATATCTCTTGTCTTGTTTCGTCATTTTAAAGATTTATATAGAGAATAACAATAACATTTCGATGTGATGAGAAGCAATTTTGTATATCTTATTTTTATTAAGCTTTATATAATATTTAAAAAATAAGATAACATTTTTATAATTATCAATAAAAAAATAAAATTACTTTTCAAAACAATCACATAATAATTTGCTTGTGTTAGAGAATTTGAAAACCCATTCAGCAGTGTCTCATGTGCACCAACATTGGGTATATTCACTACCACTTGGGTTCCTTTCCAACAATTATTAGCGTCTTTCTTTCTATATAGTTTCCTTTCTTGGGTTTATTATCATTCATATTCTAGTCTTTTGCTTTATACTATTTGATCAAACAAAGCAAGTCACATTATCTAGCCTCGGCACTTTTTCTTCATTAATTTGCTTTCAAATTCAAACACACACACATATATGTTGATGTTGCCATCGAGAACTATTCCTATTGCATCTCTTTTTGTGTGCTTGTTACTTAGAACTGCAATCCAAGCCTAATATTCATGTCTTGGTATAAGTGGCACTTACCAAAACTTTTGCTTCAACCTCTTCTTCCTTTTTTAACAAGCCAACTTTGAAATAATACAAGAGAGAGAGGGTTGGAATCTATGAACGCCACATTCCCCACAAGAGAACAACAAGGTAAAAACAAACAGGTGTCAAGAGTTGGAATCTTCTAAAATACAACCCATGAATTGCATTTATTATTATAATTATATATTTTGCTTAGCTAGCTGCACAAACAGACACTGTTAACCCTATAGGAGTGTAGTGTAGGGTTATAGATCCATTCATGTGAAAATCTGACATTAAAAAACATAGGGGAAGAGACAAGGCCAAAAACAAAAGGGTGAGGAAGGTGTCTAACATCTATTTCCAAGGACAGTTGCAAACTAAAAAAACAGGTGCTGATTTAGATAGTATATTATATATATCTAATTTTTTTAAAAGTGAAACTTTGGATTTCAATATTGTAGACAGGAAAAATAAATCTTGCTGAAGGAATTAGTCTTATTAGGTTGTGGATGTATTCGGTCCAAACAAATTTGTCTTTAATAAAAATTTTAAAAAAACATTTGTTGTCTGGATTATATATATAAAAAATGCCAACTGAAACTAAAGGAATGATGCAGTATAATTTGTTTCATACGTGAAACATGCCTTTAATTATGTTACATCCAATGACTATTGAGGTTAAATGGCACATACTAACATATTTAGATCTATATCATGTTATTAGTAATGCATAAAAAAAAATCAGGTTATTAATAACTAATGATAAAAAAATTAAAAATATTTTAAATTTTATGTGAAATAAAACTAAGAAAAATTACCAACAAAGATTTGATTTAGTGAAGGGATTAGTTATTCATAATATGACAAAATGAAGTTTGAAATCTTATTGAGAAGTGTTCATGTGTAGTATTCAACAATATTTTGAAGATAAATATTTTTTTTATAGACTACAAATATATTTTATGGGAGATAATTATGTTTGAATTAGATAGAGTTATTTTTTACAACAAAACTCTCTGAATATTTAAGAGGATATTTTTGAATGTGGGAACAAAAAAACTAATTAAAAAAATGCAAATTTATAATTCTATTTATTACCTGTTAGAAGAATTTTCTACCATGATTTATTAGTTAAGATAAATTCATTGATCTTACATTATTCTTTTCTTTTAAGTTTCAAAGGAATTAAGCTTATTAGTTCTATTTCAAAGAAATTAAACTTATAGACACAAGTTTAGAAAAAATTTTACTGAAAAATATTCTTTAGTTTCAGTAAAAAAAATTCTTAAAAATATTTTAAATTTTATATTTAATATATATATAT